AACCATCTTCCATTGTACTGAGGTAGACATGTGTTTCTACCCGACACGGATTAGCTCCACTGATCACGGCTTTTCACTAGAACTCCGAGAATTTTCTCACGAAGCTAGTCACCAGTGAGCACATGGTAGTTTTTCTGGATTCTTTCTGAATTATTACTTCATGGTATTATGTAATTTGACTGGCATATATTATCTTAATATTATAATGAATGATTGAAAATTTCCCAAAGCTTATGATCAGTAAAATAACTTGAGACTGGTATCTGTTTTTACTAGTAAGTTAAGTAAATAAACGGTGATTTGAATTATATCCTAGGTTCAAACTTTTAGTAGTGATCACTATGATATCGCAAACTTATGTTTCATAACTTTGTGGATTCATCAGCTTCATTCATCAGTAAATTCTAGGCGATTCTTTACTAATATTGGATTCTAATCAGGGTTCATTTTTAAAGTTGTGTTTTGAATTATTTACCAAAGCTTATTGATCACTTCAGTCTATTAACAACTGCCACGAAAGATTTAATCAACTGATGATTGAATAAACACTTCTATTTAAGGAATTTTCTGTTATTTAACTATTAAAAGCCCTAATTCAAACTTAACTGATTGAAAATAATAATAGCAACAGAATCGTGTGTTGTAAGTTTGTGTACTATCTTTTTCATTAAATTAAAGGTACAAAAAGCACAAGCTTTTTCGTAAACGAATCCGCACTTTAGCAGTTTTAATCAAGTTTAGTATTTTCCACTGAATTATATAAAGTATGAGTGCACCTAGCATATAATAAAGATATTTGTACATTTAAATCTACAGTACTCCACAAATTCACACAAATTAGTATACGCTGATGTATATATATATATATATATATATATATATATATATATATATATATATATATATATATATATATATATATCAAGGGTAATTTCAAATGTGTATTGTACATTTTAATACCTTATTGCTAGTGAAATAGACATACAGTCATATGCTTTGCTAAATATTTTAAACTAACGAAACTAGTTTCCATCTCGGATAATTTCATTTAAACTGAACTAAATCACATGAATTCGATATGACCCTATGTATGGAAAATTAAAGATTATTTTTCATAGTGAAAAGCTGTATGAAATAAAATGTTGGGCAAACTATAAAAGTACATTATTTGACTAATATAAACATAACCTTGGACACACCTATAAACAAAAAAATGAAAATCTGTCAACTACTTATGTTATAAAATCAGAAAGTACTTTTATTTAAATAGTATTTCTCCTTTTCTTTTCACATCTAGGCCGTTAACATTATTATTATCAAGAATTATTTCATTTCGAAAACTATTGTCCATTAGGATCTAAATGTCTAGATCTTACTATATTTTCAATGAAACAGTGTAGTGTTTAATAAGAAAAAATGTAATCACATGGAAGTGGGTCTTCTTTTTTTAAAAAAAATACTAACAGACTTCAAATTACCTTCAATATGATTCATTTTGGTAGGAAAACTATTTATCAGACCTGCCGGAACAGTCAACTTGTATATAATACTAATATTTAAAATATGTTCAGCGAGATCCAAAGCAACTGATTCAAACTATGAATATTTAAAGTGCTATATATGTTGTAGTATTGAAAAAAAATTAGTACGATATTATATCCTAGCGAAGATTAAATTATGGGTAACTTTTGAGAACTATTTATGGATTAATACTATACATATATTCTTATTATATAACTGTTAAGAAACTAAATTATATCTATTTATATTCCTGTTATTATAAACTTTTATTTGACCCATTGGTTGCTGTTATATGATTTGCTATTCTCAAATTATTCTTAATCTATCAGTCACAGTTGCACATAATCACAGACACTTTTGGGCTTGATCTTGTACAAATGTTATTTTCTGTTTTATGGTACGATGTGGTCTGATTTTGCTTGTGTATAAACCAAGTATGTTTGAAATATGTTATTCGATATAACGAAGGCTGACATTTGCATTCTGTACTGTATCGGCTGAGTTAGACCAGGAGCTGCTATCTCAAGAACCAATAAGAACTCTAGGCTGCTCGTACTGGTTTATGCGCCATTGGTCCGGTCAATAAGACGGTGACTTAATTGGCGATCGTATTGCGCGATATATTAACAAAGCATCAAGATCACAAGTTATAACGGAATTAGGTGTAGTAATTTATGACGTTTAATTTCGGTTCTTTCTATCAATAAAATTCGCCAGACCCAAGGGATTTGAAAGTATCCGGGTTTCAATAACGAGTGATGACCAGTCAAGGCAACCAAACATTGGTGGGAAAAGTAACTAGAACGAGAGCTTCGTACAATCAAAGGGCCAAATAACCATGAATAAATCTAATAACCATCTATGTTACTCATAGAAATTGGAAAGAAACGAATCATTCGGTAAATTAAACATAACAGAAAGTGAAGTTCTGAAACAATATCAGTGTTTCAACGATAGAAACTGGAGAAAAAAATGTGATAGGTAGATGGCTGTGTAAAATAAAATACATCTACTCAGATTTAGTGAAATAGATGGGACAGGACTAGACCATATTCAAAAACTACATTCTATCATGTTTGAAGTCAGTTTTACACCATTTTACCAATTATTATGAATGTTATTTCTGTACTTTTAATTGCACTGCGCTAAATTTGAATATTTAAAATTAGTTCACACAATGAACCGACATCAGTGTTCATGAATTATTAAAATCCCCACGAAAAGAGTTTAAATAATTATTTCATCCTAACTCAATAAAACTCTTGATAAGCGTCTATGACCAAAAGTCAAATAAGAAGTGAATCCAAGGCGTACAGATATTGTAAGGGGTAAAACAGATTTAAATCACTCAACCGAAACATTTCTGGCTTTTTCCTTTAAAATATTCTTACACAAAAAAATTTACTTTAAATACAATTAACCAATTAATCTCTTTTTCTATTTTGTAATAAATGAGTGAAGAAAATCTTAGAATAATTTATTTTTCACTCGCGAGATCGAAGGTCCTGGGTTCGAGTCCCGTGTGTGGGTCCATGGATAAGCACTACTGAGGAGTCCCATACTAGGGCGAAACGGCCGTCTAATACTTCCAGATTTTCAATAGTGGTCTAACATTGATCTATTCATGATATCAATCTTAACCTTAAAAATTTTCACACCCCTATATTGATATTTATTTATTGTTCCTAATTTCTTGTTTCAAAACAAAGAAACTTTCATCCATTTTAATCAATTGTAACAGAACTTTCAATTTTAACATTTACTCTGGTTAATCAATTCTTATAGTACAAATTACATAATTAATTTATTTTTCTGTTTATTGATTTTTTATGAGTTTGTTTCATGCGAATTAGATCTGCACTGATGATAAATATTTCAAGTTTCTGTGTATTTTTTTAAAAAAATAAAAGATACTACTTTGAGAAATACACTTACTTAATTACTTACTTACTTACTTACTTACTTACTTACTTACTTACTTATTGCAAAACACTATTCAATCAGTTTCTTTTTTTAATAATCAACCAACGAAAATTATTGATTGTAACCTGATGATTTAGATTAATTTTGAGGATAAATTAGAATTAATGTTATAAATATGATGAATAAAATTGAAATAAAATCTTAATTGAAATTGGCTTTAATTTAGTACTAGTCTATTTAATTTGCTCTAGAATCTTAAGGATGTTTAATCGTATTAATTACTAAAGTATGTTTACTATTTGCTTAGTAATAATAAGTTGACTAACTGCATTACTATGTTAGCCGCATAATAGATACCCTAAACAAATGTTTATATTTCTAAACATCCTGTCGGAAGACCAAAAGTTTAGGCTACAACTCATCACAATTTATAAATTACACTCGGTTTAACTACATGTTCCTCAACTTTTGATCTCTATTGATATGAGAGAGTCTAAAATCTAATTTAAGTGGTCTCTAGTTTTATTTTGATGGTTTGCCAACATATGGGGTCCACGCGACTATCGTAACCAATGGTTAGAGACTTCACGTGACATGGCTCAGCATCGATCAAAATGGCGTAGGTGTATACACTCTTTGTTTTCCCTTGAACTGTGAGATTAAAACTGCCTTATACTCTTCTTTCTCTCTGTATCATATTCTTCTATGCAGTTTTTTTTATATATTACTACCATTTGTAATTCTATTTTCAAATACTATTAGTCTGATTACTTTTCACTAAGTATAACATTTTAGAGAGCGGCAGATTGGTTCTATATAAAAAAGACTATATTATACCGAATCTTACCATATTAAAAAAATTATTGTATAAAAAGTATACTAATTATCTGTTTTTTGCAGATGATAATAATGCATTATATGATGTCTGCATTTTTTTATTTTAAATTAAGATGGTTAGCTAATATTTCATTAAAAGTTGTTGTATAAGTTAGTGGTTGGAGATAGCCGACTAGAAACCCTGGACATAGGTTTTGGGCTATTTGGCACTCGTCAGCAATTGTAACCTGTAATCTGATGCTCCATAACGGATCCGATCTTGCGTCAACAAGGTTCTTGAAATGACAAATTTTGTGTCATCATTTCCATCGATTTTAATTGTGACGCTCGAAATTCTTTCCGCATACTTACTTCCTTACTCCTGTTACCCCCAATCGAGAATAGGCCGCCAACCAGCATTCTCCAACCCACTCTGTCATGGGCCTTCTATTCTAGTTCCATCCAATTCTTATTCATTCTTCTCATTTCTATCTCCATTTCACGGCGTAATGTATTCTTTGGTCTTCCTCTTCTCCTTTGGCCTTGAGGATTACAAGTGAAGGCCTGTCTTGTGACGAAGATGTGCGCTTTCCTTATTCTGTGTCCTATCCACTTCCAGAGCTTCTTCCTGATTTCTTTCTCCACTGGAATCTGGTTTGTTCTCTCCCACAGTAGGTTGTTGCTAATAGTGTCTGGCCAACGGATCCGAAGTATTTTGCATAGACAACTGTTAATAAACACCCGTATCTTCTGGATGATGGCTTTGGTAGTTCTTCAAATTTCAGCCCCATACAGTAGAACCGTCTTGATATTTGTATTGAAAATTCTGATCGTGGTGTTGGTTGACACTTGTGTTGAGCTCCAGATGTTCTTCAATTGTAGATATGCTGCTCTTGCTTTTCCGATCCACGCCTTCACATCTGCATCAGATCCACCGTTTTCATTAATGATGCTGCCCAGGTATGTAAATGTTTTTACGTCCTCGTAAGCTTCTTCGTCAAGTGTGATTTGATTGGTGCATGCTGTGTTGTATCGCAGAATCTTGCTTTTCCCTTTGTGCATGTTGAGACCTACTGCTGCTACACTAGTCGTCTTCTCTTGCATTTATTGTTGTGTGCGCCTGGAGCCCGTCTGGGGTTATACCGGTTTCAGGCCTAGATAAAGGAGGAGGGTAGGGTATGGAATTAGCGACCTCATGCCGTAGAAAGCTAACTCGCTAAAATACGCTAACCATAAAAAATAACTCGAACCATTTAAACTCTGCCCTCGGAGTCAGAACGTCTTCATTTAGAAGGGTTATGACGTCTCGTGATGAAAGCCGACTTCCTTCGGGAGTCACGAGGATGACGTCTCTTCTGATAACCAGACCAACCCTTAATTTAGGTAAATGGAATGTTCGTACGATGTGGGAGACTGGGAGAGTCATCCAAGTTGCTGCAGAAATGAAATTCCTTCTGCTCTGCTACAAAATAGATCTAAGCTGATCTGCTGAAATCGACATTTTGAAGTTTTGTTTGGATTTGACAAGAATCCGTCGCCAGAAATTGTTGTGGTGTGTGGTGTCCGAAATCTTATTCTGATACACTGTGTGTTACGCGCTGACTCCCCCAACTGACTACTTGAGAGCGAACACAAAAGTGAGAGAGGAAGTGTATCGGACTACCTAATGAAATGTATAAATACTCATTCATATATATACCACTCTATTGAAATTGACCTATTAACCTCAATGAAATGCACTTGACCTTTATGTCACTTCTGATTGTCATCGATTGACCTTTTCATTAGGCTACTTCTGATTAGCACGCCATATCACTTGAATCCTTTCGTTTATCACTGTTCTCATCTAGCTCATACAAACTGACATTGTTTTAACGACTTTAATTCTTCCTCATATAAAAGTTTGTCTAAGATAGAGCATAAATTCGGAATATCCTCAAAACTCTTGTCATTTCTAGAAGACTAGAATCACATTGATTTGTGATAGACAAATTTGCTATCTGTTAACAGAAAGGTATGTAAATCAGTGGTCTTTAGTATAATTAATCAACAAATTTTTGAAACACATTTTCACCTTTCTAATCCATATGTTAAAACTATGATTATTCTTTCATAGATAGGAACTAGAAAATATTGTCCTGTGAAAGAGTTATTATTACGAGCTAATTATGTAACCAATTATCGCAACATAAAACATTGTTAAATTAATCAGTTGTTTACTGACTAATAAAAGCATTTAACGCGATACAAACGAATAGTACTAATTTATCGATTCAAGACGAAAGATGGTGGAAACGTCAACTAAATAATTACAACTTTTTGTCCCATTAGTACTTATACCTTAAGCCAAGTTCAGTTAACAAAATAATGAATGCTGTGAAATCCAGGAATCATGTGTAACAATCAAAGTCATTTATTGGTATTTCCCTATGGTTTATTATATATCTTATATATTAACTATTTTTACTACCAAAGCTGACAAAAGTTATGCAGCAATGATCATGAACAAAAGCGACTATGAAGAAAAAGCCATTAAATATCTATCTATAAGAACACATTTAAAGATCGATTCAAAAAATCTTCAAGTGGTTAAAAATAAACTTAGATCGGAGACAAGTGAAGTTCCGAAAGAACTAAAGCCATTTATTAGCGTTTCCTCATGGTTTACTTTATACCCTAAATTCAACACCACATCACGTTTCTATAGGCTACCAAAATTTCACAAGCCTGACATTCCTTTAAGACTCATCGAGGACTTCAAAAATACTCCCACATCTGCTTTATCCAAATATCTAAAAAGCATACTGAAGCCACTTCAATACAATATAACTAATTTTGTAAAGGATTCATATGAATTCAAACCAAAAATCTCTGAATCATCCATCAATAAGAACGAAACAGTGGTAAGCTGTGATGTATCCTTATATACTGCCATTACAACTAATAAATATCTAGATTTCGTTAATGGTTTATTAGTGAATAATCATTCCCTATCTAGCGGATGTCCACTAAGCATTAGTTCAATCACGAAATCCCTCAAATTATGCTTGTATTCAATAATATTCACATTAAAAGGGACTTCGCACAAACAAAAGAATAGGGCGCTAAGAGACATTTCATACAAAGAAAAGTATCAATACTTTATATGAATTTTTGTGATGTCTTCTCTATGCTAAGTGGTTCATCTGCTATGATCGCATTGTCACCGTAAACAACACTGTTACGGCCTACTTTGAACAAAGGTAGAAATATGAGAGAGAATATCATCCGGTGAATGAAATAATAACTACATAGTAGGCAGTGAAAAAAAGTATATTTCAAATAGTTACCAAGTTCTCTTTCAGTTTGGAACCGTACCTTAATTTTACAGAGAATAAGATTGAGAATATGACACAAATATGATAATCAACTTCAATTTTACTTAGCCACTGAGGTGCAAATATTTGGAATCCCATATATGGAGTTGTGACAATCAAACAAACTCTAATCTAATATAGCTACCTTTCACTCTACAGCGTCATGTTATGAGTTGAACATCTTCCCGATCATAAGTTTAACTCGTTTCCCAGTATGTTTTTAGGCATAACTACGATTAATAGATACATTTAAAAACTTTTGAGTCAATATCAAAGTGTTTTTAGTAGTAATGAAAAACAACCCAAAAGGGAATATGTTATTAACGCTCTAACTAATGATCTCAACGAGAGAAATTCAACATTTTAAAAATATAGTCGAATACGTACTACGATATCGAAAGTCAAAATGCATACATGATAAATGTAATACTGTCAGACTGAACATTGTTTTTAGTGTAACCTCACATTTATAAAAAAGGAACAATATATGTCGTAGATTATTCCTAAAAGTACTCAACTAACAATTAGAACGGAACCATTTGGATAATCAAAAATAATAATTAGTTTTGCTACAATACAAAGAAACTTTTATCGAAATCTTAAAAAATATTATATACAACAACGTAGTTATTTGCATAATATGTGTTGAAGTTAGGCGTTTGAAGATAGTTGACAGGAAACCCTCAATCTAGATTTTGTATTAGTTGATAATTGTCGTCAAGACATGGTTTCAATCTTGAGGGAACTGATATTTTTTTGAAATCCAAACCTACATTATCTAGTTCCATAGTCTGAGACGTGACCAATCAGCTATTCATGCCCTGTGTAGTGTCGGAATTTCCCAACAATTACATGAAGAATATGTGTGTTTTTATTTTGCCTCATAATTATGTTAAAGTGAATAATAATAATAAACTGAAACAAAACAAAATGAAACCATTAACTGGATTGTTATTTGTGTAGTACATGAAAATTTGCAATTACAATTTCTGTTTTTTCCGACTATCTAAAATCTTAATGTTTCATCAAAACTTTTAATGCAAATAGTACATGTACCTTGATAATAACTACAAAAGAGGTTGATAAACAGAAATTATAGGTCAATAGAATAGGGGATAAAAAATAATTAGTTAACTTTGAATAGTGTGGTTGATCATTTAACGGACATCTATTTCATGAAATGGATGATATCTGCAATTAATTGCTTACTAAGTAGTAATCATTCATTCAACAATTCTTTTGTACTTGCCTCTGGGATCCCGTTACTTTAAATGTATCGAAACTATGAAAGTTATTACTAAAGTGTTTAGAATTAAATTTATCTTGTATAACACTAAGGTATGTCTTCTCAATGATTCCCAACTAACAACTTACCCTAACCCAGAATTCTTTGCCAATTACCAACAACCGCCTAACACAGATGTCATGTAATGCGCTTCTTGCTGAAGTATCGTATCATACGTCTCCTTTCATATCCGGAAGAAAGATAACCAGACATACAGGATTGTTTCAGATTGATAATCGAGGAGTTAATCATTTAGTAGTTTATTTTTAAATGTCGAATAATGATTGGAATTTATCAATCATAGAAATGTAATGCTTTATTCAAGTCACTTAATGCCTTGTTATGTAATGTTTGTTTAGAACTGTAGTCTGGAAAAACTTGTTAACAACCGCTTTAGTTGTGAATTCTCAATGAAGACAGTAAATTTCATTTAGATTACGAATAGTGCTCAGCCCACACATATACTAAGTCTTCTACATAATGAGATTCCTGATAATAACCAATTGAATTAACCACATTAGCGTTATGGATAGATCATCGAATTTCGAATAAAGTCAGATAGATTACTATTTTATTTAGTGAACTCATTACTAAAAACTTTGTTACTTCATTCTAACTAACTAACACCACTATTTCTTTAAACAGTAATCATCAATAACAAATGAGTTTCCTTGGAAAATCTGTCCCCATATTCTGTAATTAATAATTTATAAATTAAATACCTGTAGAGACAAATTAAAAATAGGACAAACTTACATAGAAATACTCTATGCTTTTTGTATCTCGACAGTGTACATTTTAACTCTGAAAGTCAGAATAGCAGAGCAACGGCAATTTGGCTAGTAATAGACTAATAATGCCATAGACATTTTTACGTCAAATATGGCGCTGACAGTTTGGTGGGAGAACTAAACGCCAAAGTCGAAATGGAAAACCCCGGGTATGAGGATATCATGGGACGACATGGACTGGGAGAAAGGAACAAGAATGACGAGAGATTTGCAAATTTATGTGTCTTCAGAAGAATGATTATAGGTAGCACTATATTTCCCCACACAACCATACACAAAGCTATATGGGTCTCACCAAATCACACAAGTGCGAACCAGATTGATCATATGTTCATCACCAAAAAATTCAGAAAACCCATGGAAGACAAAAGAACAGAGAGAGGAGCTGATATAGCCTCAGATTATCACCTGGTGGTTTCTAAGATGAAACTGAAGCTAAAGAGACACTGGACAACTAGAGAAACGGAAATACAAAGGTTCAATACAGCCTTCCTTCGATCGACTGACAAATTCAACGAATTCAAGAGAAGTCTGAACATCAGGTTCGAAGTTCTACAAGATCTACACAGAAAATAGCAAACTATTATAGAGAACAGTTAGAAAGGGATCAAAAAAGCACTAACTTCAACGTGCCAAGTGGTACTGGGCCGCAGGAAGTATCATCATAGGGAATTGATTTCTATCGAAACCGAGAAAAGTTTTCAACAATGTTACTGAACCGGATGAAAGATTCAGTAGACGTCCAGCTTCGAGATCAACAGGCTGGATTTCGTAAGAATCGATCATGCATAAACCAATTCATGACTCTAC